CAATTAGCTTGCGGGTACAGGGCACTTGAATGCAAAGGAAATATGGAGAGAAACAAGAACTAGAAGATAAGATGATAATTATATAAATTTAATAAAAAAAATTACTTCATCTCTTAATAATTTTTTTATAATAAAAAATTTTAAATAAATTATATAATAAATTAAATTTTTACTATATAATTTATCATGTAAAATATTTTTTTACTCTAATTTGAAATAATAAAAAAGAATGCCCCTTTTGGTTCTTGAATCTGAATATGAGAGCAAGGGGGGAAGTTCCAAAACCGCAAGCATGTAGAAATCTTATTTATAGAATTATAGTATATTTGATGAAAGGTTGCATATATTAATAAAATCCTCCTTTACTAATTCTAAGATTAAAATTTAAGAATCTTTAAGAAAAAAAAATTACTTAAGCTCTTAAATACTTAGGAGGCTTTAAGCACGTGATATTAAAATCAGCTTCTTCTTTTTCAAATATTCTGCTTTTGATTTGATATGGTACACTAAATTCGAAACCATCAGAAAACAAATGTTTCTCATTACTTCCAATTCCAATCATCAGGCGTGGAGAAAAGGAGGTGTCATAATTCAATTTTTTTTAGCTTTCTTAATATTTTTTGTAAAAACAAATTTTATTTTTTTAACATATTAGTATTTCATAGATTTTTATGTTTTAAATGAAAATTTTCAAAAATTTTGAACTTTACCATGACGTGGGAAATTAATTTGGAAAATATGTTAAGAAAATTGAGATTAAATTGAATTAATCACGTTTTGTACTTAATCGAAGACATTTAAAACAGAAGTTTCATTTGGCGGGGACTCGATTGCAACCTGGCCTAAATCTGAGGACTAAAGTGAAGGCGGCCAAAACTTTAGGACCAAAATGCAAATCCAGACCCTAAACGACGACGTTTCAGGCTAAAGAAGGGAAAAAACTAGAATAGCGAGCCCTACCCCAATTTTCAGTAAAAGCCACAGAAGCCATAACCACTATTTTCAGCATTACAAGGTTTTGCAATTGTGATGCACAGAAAATTGAATATATATCATGACCACTTGTTCACCCAAAAAAGAAGAGAGTTAGAGAGACTTTAAAGAGGTTCATTGTAGGTAATTGTGATGCAGCATGTCTTAAAACTTAAAATTTGGTGCTTTCATGGGCTACAAATTTTAAGAAAATTGGAAATATGGTGTGACAAAGGGAATATGCATGCATGCATGCATTTCTTCCTGTAACTAGGACAATAAAATCTAACTATATGAAATGACTTAATTTTAATTAGTTCTTTTAATTTGAGATGGGATATAAGAATTAGTGTAGATGCATCACTCATTTAATTTAATGTGGATATTGTAAAATTTATAATAAATTTTCGTTGTTAAAATCACAACCATTAGAAGAGGATGATAATAGCCTTACCAGATTGATCACCTGCCTGATATTACCACGTCCTTCTCTATAATTGCTTCCTTGTTTTATCAATCTATGAGGATCACTATGATAACATTCCATATGGAAATAAATGTTAGTTTTGGAAATTAATATACGCATGTATATAAACAGTTATAAATATGACAACTTTAATTACCATATGAACACTGGACTACAAAACATGGATCACTAGATGAGGGAAGGCACCCAACTATGAAGGACTCACCTCTCATTTAATAATTAATATAGTATAGTCTGATACAATTTGAACTATACAACATTTTTTCTATACCTTTAAATGTAAACCATAGTTAGTATGAGCAAAAGATTAACCTTCTAGGAACTGAGTTCAAATCCCCACAAATCAATATATGAATATTCTGTAGCTGGGCAATTTCCTCGTGTATGGATAAAGGTGGCAACCTAGGTAGAAATGAAGTAATTGTTAGAATTTTTTTTTTCCATTCTAAAGAAAGGTAGTGATTAATATAATTACCCACTTGTGATACTTTTATATTAGAGTGGTTCTTTTCAGCATATAGATAGGTATTTACTTGTAAGTTTAAAATTAAGTATGACTTCGAACCTTTTTTTTTTTTTTTATCAACAATGGATAAATTGCATTAATATAAAGAGCAATTTGAAAGGGATTCAATCTTTATGATAAAAAATAATTATAAAGAGATAGAAGTTCCTCTCAATGTCCAACACATACTCAAACAATGATAGGAATATAACCAGCAACAAAACAAGTGTAAACATCAAAATCAATTCAAAAAATAGAAAAAAACAAAACAACTAAGTTTCTGAACCAAAGGAGCCATAACCCCAAGCATCACCATCTAAGGAAAGGCCTTTGAAATCTTCGACAATACAAGCTAATTAGGCTGATGAATCAAATTCATGAGCATCAACTAAATCGTAGCCACTTGCAAACATTGTCAATGCATATTCTTTTAGGATTGAGTGCAGTGTTTCAAGTTAAGGATACGCAATGACAGTGTTTGCTTGTTTAAATATTTGACATTTCTAAAAAACTATTCATTAGGATTGAGACTCCAATCATTGAATGAATACACCAGCCATCCAACATTCCTTTTTACTTGTCAAAAAGGGAAAAAATGAAGTAATAGGACTTAATCAAAATATCAGGATACTATCATCAGGACAAGAATTAGCCTTCTCCATATACTTCCTCCATTCCTCGTCACAAAATTTTTTTTCACAAAATATTAGGCTATCATATTTTTATAATAATAAATAGTAACAAAATTAGTGAAATGTAATTCAACCTATGCAAACTGATCACATTTTTTATAATCATTAATAAAAGAGTGGTCTCTTCCTATTAAGGATCCATCTCATCATCAATGATCACAAAAATGCAATTCACATAGAGTAGACTACAAAACAACATTTCTCATATAATAACAATTAATTTTTTAATGAAACCCCCCCCAACAACAACTATGTAAAAAAATATATATATACAATTGTCTCACCTAAAATTACTGCATAAGAAGATTTTGTGACAAATAAAAAAGAGTAAGGAAGAGTGTCTAATAGCATGAATGTGTACTTTACCGGACAAATCCTTGATAGAAGGTTACAACCAGTGCTGCCATTTTTCAGTCATAATACTACAAGAGCAACATTATGCTGCAAAACCGAAATTCAAATACAAGGGACATAAATGAGGACCGCTGACAACAAGTTAAAGTCTGCCAATCGGATTATGGTCCTAAGCAATGACTGAGTATATAAGATGATATAATGTAAACCTTTATTAGGGGAATGCTACCATCTTATCCTTGTTCAGGTCGTTCCAATGCTTCAATCGGTGCGTTCTCGTCAAACTCAACCTACAGAATAGAGCTGTCATGTTATTTTAAAACCGCACAACAAGAACTATTTTATTTACACAATTCGGGGATTCTTCACCTCTTCTTTCATGGTTATTTCGAACTTGTCACCATGGTAAAAATTGCACATCCTTCATGTATATATCCTTCGGCTGAATATAACTGCAGCAAATTACAGAATAGCATTTTATTGATTTTAAGCTCACATTACTGCATGAATGGAATGCAATAACAAAATAAACACAAAACAATATCTAACTTGGGTTAGATTTCTTTTTGAAACAAATCACATTGAAGCTCAACATTGGCTTAATAATTTTTTTAATCAAAATCTATACACATTAAAAACTCAAGTTATTAATAGTAATTATTTTTTATATTTATATATCATTTACAGTCATTCTTTTTTCAATGTGGACTTAGAGTGTGACAAAACAAGTTCACCTTCACGTACACATTAAGAAATGAAATGGTACAAGATGAAAGCAATTTCTTAGCAGCAATTCCAAAAAATTTCTAACAAAATTCCAATAGTTTAAGAAATGAAGCAATTTTTTTACAAGGAAATGGATTGCTTTTGTGTGCATCACAATCAACAGCTAGTGAGATTTGAATAAAACATACCTTATTGATATTTGTTTTTCTCTAGTACAAAGCCGAATAGCCACGGCTTGTCAACTCAGGTTCAAAGAAATCTTCATAATGGTTCTCTTGTACCTGGATGCCCAAACCATAAATTAAAAAAAAAAAAGTGCTTAATTAAACTAAACAGGGTAAATCAGGCCCCATTGACTATATTCAATTACTATTTACTATTTATATCCACTGTGTACGTATATGAAAGTATGCAGAGAAAAAATTCATCACCTCCTGTAAACATATAGTATCTGCATCATATTCATTGATCTCTTTCCCCAATTTTAGCTTATAGTATTCCCACTCAAGAGCCCATGTTGGACAGCGAAGATAGCTCTTGGCATGTATATCAGCCAGTATATTGTAGGATAACACACTAAATGCTGAACCATCATCATTACTTCCAATATCAATCATCCTGCGTGTGGAACAAACAAGGAAAGCAATCACAGGATTAGTGATCACTCTTCTTTGAACCTGAGACAGACGATTACCGTTTTCAGGATCAATAGCTACACACTCCAGCATCAGCAAGGTGTTGATATCATCATTTGAAGGCTCATATGTTTCTGAAGAGGCCACTTGAACCCATTCTTCTCCTTCTTGTTCTGGAATCTCTTCAAGTGATTGTGGCCATGAGCCAGATCTCCTTAATAATTCTTTTTGATTTTCAAGATTGGTCTTACTTTCAGCAGCGGCATTGTGATGACAAATCTTATGCCTTTCCCAATCACTTGAGAAGCACTGTGCAGAACAATGATAGCTCTTCTCCTTCATGTTCAATTCAACACAAGAGATGCATTGAACTGTAGCCAAGATCGAAGGATGAACAGAACAAGTAGTAAGCTATTTTTCGGAACCTACACAAGTAACAATTAAGCTTTATGAGGGTATTGCACGATAGGTCGTTCTCTTAAAATTTTTTTTTAGAGTATTTGTATAAAAACTAACTTTTTAATAAATATTTTCAAAAACTGATTATTAAATTTAAAGTTTTATTCATATAGATTATTTATATTAATTTTTATATTAATCTAACATTTATAATATATTTATCTAATATTTATAATTTTTTGATTAAAAAAATTTTATTTATTAATATATATTTAATAATATTAAATTTTTTATAATTAATAAAGTAATTGGTATATTAAAATTATTTAAAAATTATAAATTAATAAAATTGTAGATAAAAT